CCGCGCGCGCCGCGTTTTTCCGCACGTTGGAGGGGATTCTTGAAAATTCATTATACATCCAGCTAGTGCTCTTAATGCGCAGGCGAATGCGCTCGTCGGGTCGAGCCGCCGCTTTTCCGATGTAATTTTCCAATCGATGATTAAACGAGATAGGCTTCCAAGGTCGGTTCACTCGAGTGAACATACGGAGCGTGTAATATCGGCCGAAGGAAGACCGGGATATCCCGCGAGAGCGCCTTATCTCGACCCGGCGAGATCTCTCGGAGACGGAGAGAAAAAAACGAAGGAAAAGGGAAAAAAAAAAGAAGAAGAAAAGGCGCGCATCGATTTCCCATCGGGACTTTTGCGGAATCGCCGCGCCATCGGCGGATATGGGACGTAAATCCTGAATTGAAATTCCGCACCGAGAGTATCGAGCGAAACGTCATCGCGTTAGTCGAAATTTTAGCCCCAGTTTTTCTCAAGCTAACCTAACTCTTGCGTTCCCGTTCCACCCTTTAGGCCCTACTTGATACGAATCGAGTCCTACTTCGGGCCTACAAGGAGGAGAAATGGAAATATTGGAGCATTGTTGGAGCGGCTCGCCTCAACCGCGATTACCGTGAAATTTCTTAACCACGGTTAGTTAATCTCGGATCAGGGAAATTAGGCCGACAGGAATTGGGCTGACCGAGGATTAATATATTCGCTGTTGGGTAACCGATTCGGATTAGGCGATTAACTCTGGTCACGCTTTGAGTAATCCTTGATTATGGATTTTTTCGGTCGTGTAGGAGTTACTCTTAAAAATGGGCTATCTCAAGATTCATTTCGGGATCACAATTAGAGGTTCCAAGTGGAATCGCCGTTTCTACTTCAGACATCTCGAGGCGAGGGTCGGGGTCGGGTGGTTTTCGTTTTCTTCGCTCTATGAATTATTCTCTCGTTATTCCCCGGCCGGAATAACCTCCCTTTCTCCGTTACCGGTGTTTCGAATATCGGGGGAGGTTAGGGAAAATCCCCGGAATGAAAAAAGACCTCGACCTTGGAATCGCGAATCGCAGCCTCGCAGGGGCCTTTTCTCGGGGGTGACGTCACCGGGCAAACGGCTACGGCGTTTTCCTTCGATATATCGCCAGACGGCGCAACGCCATTGGTCGTCGCTCCTCTACGGCCGCCATCTTGACGTAGTGACTCACGACTTGAGAAAAACTAGGATGGACTGAGTCGGGGCCTGCGCAAAAGGCCACTTCGACGGTGTCACCGCTGTATCTAGGGACCTTCATGCCCCGCGTATCCCCGGAAAGTGGAAAAAGTCCATCGTGGGACGGATCGAGACCCAAGTCCGGAGGGAAATGGAAACGACGAAGATGACGGAGGGGACAACGGGGCTGAAGAGGAAGACGGAAGGGATCGCATAAACGAGGGGATTATCCCCGAGCGGACCCGCTGTCGTTTCCGACACGGGCGGAACGTGGATAATTTCCGCGAGATCGCGTCGACCGTGTGCCCAGAATCCGACGGGCCATCGGTCGAACGTCGTCAAGAAGCGCGTTTAACGGATCTCTCGAATGATCGATTAATGGATCGGAGAAGAAAGGGGTGGAGGATCTCGCGGGCGAAGCCCAAGACCCAAGGAGAAGGGACTAGTGGCCGCCTTTACCGTTCTCGCGTGCTTCGAACGAATGCGGATCAAGAAACTGGGTAGAGTTTCGCGCCAAATACATATTTACGCGCCCGAGATCTTAAGGTGACGTGAGCTCAAATGGGATATAGGAGTCCATTGGCGACCCAAGGGGGCACCGTGGCACGAGAGGTTCGCGCATTGCCACGGCAACGGTTGTGCTTCCCATAACATAGGGACCTTTTGCAAAACACGACCGCCTGGCTCTCGGCTTGCGCGAAGCCGTAGCCTAAACAATGACCCGTCGCGGAATCACCGGCATTCCTTCGATTGTTCATAGAGATATGCGGGGGAGGAAGAAGCAACACAGGGGGGGAGGAAAAAAAAAACGGACCGAGAAAGCCAGAGGCGAAAAATCGGCGAATCGCCGCCGAGGCGACTCCGACGTCGTCCTAGATGCACGTGCAGGTGGGGCATGCGAATGTAAACGTGGTGCACCGTGTTTCCCGCAAACTATGCGAGTGACATAATATAAATGTCACATGGCAGTGCCAGGGTTCGAGCACGGGTCCTGAGGGGACACTTTTGGCCTAGTCGTTGCTACAAGGCGGTTCGAATGTACCGTCAAGTGTGCAATGCACGGCCGGCATACAATTACGCCGGAAGCGGGGGTCGTTACTTGTTATCGGGGCGAAATGTCGCCGTATGGGCATTTTTCTGCATCCCTGTTTCAAGTTGCATGACAGGGCCAGGGCCGAGCACGTGTACGGTTAAATTCACGGCGTACACTCGCGGCGGGAAGTCGCCGGCCCGTCTTGCGAATATGGCTAATCGGGTCACCGGGAACCCAGCCGGCCGTTCTCGGTCACGTCGGCGCTGGACGAAGATCGAATCTGGAAACGAAAAACCACCGTTAATGATCGGCGCCTAAATCTGCACGCTAAAACCCTCGGTCGTGTGTCAAGGATCCCGTGGGCGTGGGATATGGGATGTTCTCGGCGTGGCGACGTTTAACGGCGTGTATACGGTTAAATACACGGCCGGTACAGTCGCGGTGGAAAGTTCTTGCATCTCCTCGCAGGTGCGGCGACGCATTGGATTGGATTTAAACATCGAGCTGGTCCCGAAAGCGCGGAAGCCTCTTCTAGTCACCTGGTCACCGTTTTGGGTGCGACGCGCTGGCCGCCATCTTGGATGCCGGAGCGCCTCCAATCGAGGTCGAGCGCTGTCGCTGGAAGGAAAATGGGAAAAACCGTTGCAACATGATGTGCAACGGAGACTCGACCGATGAATACTTATTTTCCTGTGGAATTATCCTACCTGGATCTTCCTGGAGATCCTGCACTGTGAGATAGATTCGTTCGATGGGAAGTCGTTACGTCGGCGTCTCGCTAAGCGTGTCAGGTATTGCGCGGGGCGTTAACGCGTCGAGGATGAAAAAGCAGTTAAAATGGGGTAGGAAGTGATTCTCGGGGTGAAGCGCAGTGCGATAAGGATATGTTGGGGTTACAAGCATAAACCGGGCGTCACTATTCGGACGTTGCCGCGTGTCGTGGATCTCGCGGAGTACTTTCAAATTCGACTTCGCGCGCGGCCCTCGCGGCGGCGCCACGAGCTTCCGCGACCCCCCCAGAGATGGCACCACGGCGTGGCGGTCGGCGCTCCGTTCATCAACGGATTCGAATCGATGCGCCGGCCCGCCTGATGGACGTCCCGCTTCCGAACCGCAGAAAATGAACGACTAAATCTCCCGCCCTACCGAAAGCGAGAAGCAAGTAATATAAAATCGACGAGGAGTCTGCTTTTCGAGAGAATCATCGATCGATCCCGGAATCCCGACGGATGACAGGCGCCGCCATCTTGTCTGCGAACCGAGTCAATGCACCTGGGAGGCTTCGAGGGTCCGAGTCTCCTCGAAACGAAATGGACGGGGAACTCTGTTTACATGAAACTTTACGTAAGCGTTTGCTTAAAAATTACTTCAGATTCTCGTATCGAGTTGACGACTGAATTTTATTTGGGGTACAGAAATATTCGAGCGACCGGGTGAAGGGCCCCTCGGGTCGGGCGCCGTCCCTGGCGGTTCGGCTCGCTTAGCCCGGCTCTGGGTACAGTCCGCGGCAAGAGGCGCCGGTCCGCGGTCCGCGGTCCTCCTCCGGTCCCGCGGTCGGCTAGACCGCGGAATGCCTAGTGCCCCGTGCAGCTGCGGGCGAGCTCGATGTCGCCGCATGCCCGGGACGGCCTGGAGCCAGCCTGAACTCGGAGCCTCGTCAGGCTGGGTCTGCCTATAATGGCGCTGCTGTCCTCGCCAGAGAGCGGGTCCCTCCTCGACAGAGCCTCGCCGGGGACCGGAGGTACGCCCGAGCTCGGACCGCGTACGTAGTGGAGTGTCGCGCTCTGCGCCTAGAACCCCGCCGTCGCGTCTTCCGCTCCCCCGGGACTCGCCGAGACGCCGCGGGAGCGCGGCTGACCACTGCTCTCTTCCGAATTGGAATATCGACTCAAAATACGGACGCTTTATTGATTTCGCTCGGGACAATCAACCCGTTATGTTTCTCCGGCGACGCGTTCGGCGGCAACCTAGCGATTTCGTCCAGAAACGTCCGACTCTCGCGACCCGGGGGAACGGCCTTTTTTCGACACTAGTGACCACTCGGAGGGTTCATTGATTTTTCGTGCTTCCCGCCGCGACTGGAAACGTCTCGTTCTTGGACCACGGAGGAAATCTCTCCCTCGTCTAGAAACTGCGCGTATCCGATTCCTGGCTCTAACCTCCTTCGGGCGTCTGCATCTCGGGGTTTCCTAACCTTATCGGGGGTGCTCCCTCGCGCACTCTGGACCAAACCCGCCCGCGGGAAGCTAGGAAGCATCGTTGTTGCTTATCTCGTCCTTTGAAGCGCATCTACGCGGATTAGCTCTCGAAACGTATTCGATACGTCCGCGACGTTGCGGTGGTCATGGTCCTCTGGGTGGCCGGCCTGGCCGGCCTCGGCAGTGACCGCCTCGTATCCCCGGCGCACTCGCGATTGATATCCGTGACACGAGAATATCTTCTCCGGGCATTTCTCGTGTACTAATTGCGCCCACTTGTCAGGGTCTCGGGCGTTTGCGCTGGAAAATAAAAGATAATTAAAGGAGAAGGTAACGAAAGTGCGGTGCCACCTTAGGATTTTCCGGCGGCGAGGCGCGTGGGGGGAGGAGCAGGCTCGCCTTGTGCCGCACCGGTCGTGCACGCGTGTTCCGTGCGGCGGCGTGCACGGCGGGCGCGCAGCGCACGCTCGATCGCCCGAAGCGAGCCAGCGACGCGCGTCGGCACGCGACTCGCTCTCGAGTGCGCGCGTCGCGACGCCCCGGCGAAGTGTGCGGCCCTTTCCAGCTCCGCCGTGCGCCGAGGAGACGTCGATAGCGCACCGGAGGAGGTCGGGAGCGTCGAGAGACGCGGCGAGCATCCCTGGGACCGCGGACCGTGAACGAGTCTTTGGCTCTCGTTGAGGAGCCCGCGGCTCTTCGTTCGAGGCGTCATGGGGAGCAGCTGGACGCAGCGGAGGTCCTCCGGGATACGCATCGACCCTGGCACCCTGCATTCCGGCGAGGGACTCGCCGTTTCCTGGCGACTCCCGAGGATCGAGAAGTCTCGCTCGCGGCCGCGAGTGTAGGTTAGAGTGCCGATCTTCGAGCCTTACCTGGACCGGACCGCGTGGAGTGCGTCGAGAGGACGGGGACGAGTCGCAGCGACCATCCTTAGGGATTAGGAGGATCCGAGGGCCTAGGGAACTGTTCGTGACGTGCTCCGGAGACCTTACTGTCTGCGGGTGAAAGTGCTCGGTGGGTGCTCTTCGCCATCGAGGGATGGATCGACCGGTGGTCGAGGCTCCCGGGGTACAGGGAATCGCAGTAGGACACCTCGAAGCTGTTTAGAGACTTCTAAGATGCCTCTGGAGCTTCTCCTGGGATCAGTCCCTAAGACGTTACTGCGTTCCGAAGCTTAATCTCGTGTCGAAGCATCTAGCGGGGCACGATGACGTATAATGGTATGCAAGTATGTTCTGTCGGATTGAGGCTGGGCCGTGCCTCTTCGAGAGACCGGGGTTTATAGGAAAGGAGGACATTAAGGAAACGTAGTGGAGTCTAGTCGTTTAAGGAGTTAGGACCGTACCTGGGATTTCCTAGTGGAATCTAGCACCGTGAGTGCAAGATTCTGCGGCTTTGTATCGAGGTTACACGAACGAGTAAAGGAGGCTCAAGTACCGTAGTCGGGGCACCGACAAACACCTCTGGATACTCGCAACCTTCGATGAACGATTCGCGCTCGGTTGGTATGTGCGGATTGTAACATACGTTAGAAATTTTGTTTTTTTTGTAAATGGAGTTCCAAACAAATGTTTGTAAATATGGGGAGGATCGCAAGGTCGGGTGCGTTCACAGCTGTTTAGTTGTAACTCGAGATTCCTTTTTACATTTAAGGTATTATCTGTTATTTTAGGTCAATCGGTAACTGATTTTGTGTAAATGGCACGATAGGGAAATTCTTTAATAACTGCCAAAGATGTTTGTTCGATCGTAAGCAAAAATTGTAATAGTCTTTTATATTTCTGCTTGCAGGGTTACTTGAGAAAGTCACGGTAAAACAAGAACATCCAGATGAGGCGGAAATCAGGGAATTGGCTGCCAAAATGGTGGAAGCAAACAAGGCGAAAATGATCGCTACCGTGCCAGGGACTCAGCAACGGCCAACGGGCCTTGTGTCACAGCCCAATCCTCTCGACATTCGAATCTACCTGAACAAGCGACCTGGGGACAATCAGGTTGCGAAACCCCCTCCCACCGAGGGCAAGGTACCTCTCGATGACGAAAGTCAAAGAGGCCGATTCGGGTGGACTAGCTTTGGCAAGTGCCACATCCCGTACATATTTCGCGGCACCGAAAAGTACTGCGCCGTTCGCATTCTAGAGTCTAAGTTGCTGAACAAGTACCTGAGCTACCTGCACTCGGATATCTACAGTTGTACGTGTATAAGGAGCTACTACATAACGGAGGCCGAGAGCAAGCTCTTCAACGAGATCAACGCCAAGCACTGTGAGAATCAGTTCGGGAGGGAACAGTTCACGTGCAAAGACCTGGTCGTTCGGCTGGCGGATGCCAAGGAGTTCTACGCGTTCCTGGACGTGTGCTACACCAAGCTCAATGCTGGAACGAGTCAAAATGTCCCGTCTGCGCAAAAGGCAGAGAAATGTGGTTTCATTCGTATTAATAAGGAATCGGTTGTTCCTTACACAGTGAAAGACCGCTTGAAGTACGTTCCTCTGTTTTACTTCGAGGGTGAGACCGATAATCTCAAACTCAAGGCAGAAAAGCTCGAAGGCTGGGACTTGTCGTACTTGAAGTTTTGTTGTAAAGTACAGGGTATACGAAATGAACTGTTTGCTAGTGAAACGTGTTCCGTGATTAGTTTGAGCGACATCAAGAGTTACTTTCCACCCGGTACGGGTTTCGAGGATTACTGGCCGAGTAAAGTGATGGACTCGCAGTTATTAGTGAGCAGTAAAGGCGGTGGTGGCGGAGGTGGCTGGACGAAACAGCCACCTACACCACCTGTGACCAAACCGGCACCAGTGCAGAATAATGCCAACAAGGTGGCACTAAATTCACGTGGCGCTACCATGCAGACTATTGTCCCGCGGTGTGTTACGGCGGGTACCACGATACAGAGGGTAGGTCAACCGAGGCCAGTCGTCACTACCCTCCCTGCGCACTCTGCTCCAACGGCGGTTCCTCCAGGGAGAACCAGTGCTGTTACACAGCCCATGTTGAATGCGGTGCAAGCGGTTTGCAATGGTTGGACCGGTCTCGTCGGTGGACAGCCTACTTTCCAGGCTGCACTCGTTTCTCAACCCAACCATCCTCCATCCGTCAACCGTATAAGCAATGCTACTCTGAATATGCATAATGTAAGTATATCCTGTTAATTCCGTACAGCTTGACCGTAAGGTAAATCGGATGAATGCGTTTTAAAAGCGGTCTGTTTTCCTCACAGCAAATTTCCACGACGAACAAGACTACGTATCCACAGCAGAGTAGGAGTAGAGGGGGTGGTAGCGGAGCAGCGGCTCAGTATCCAGGAGTCTATCCAGTTACGACAATGCAAGCTGCGGCTCAGGCCCAACCACCCCCTCTGATCAGAGCCACAGCCCACTCGAGTCAGCCCAATCTCGGGTAAGTGACGGAAGAAGCTGTCAGAGATCGAGGAGAGGTGATCGAGGCTGTGACGAGTGACAGAATGATAAAAGGAGTCGATAGATAATAGTTTGTCGAAGCAACAAATATGCCTTCGGAGTGGCCATTTGTGATTCGAGAGTTAAAGTCCATGCCAAAGGGGGAGGCTAGGTTGCGATACCTTAATGTTGACTGATTGTTGCATCGGAGTGCTTGCCTCGTAGGTCAAAAATTTCAGGCTTGCATTTAATAAAGCCTTGACTAAAAATTTGTTCGGTCACACCGCTGGATTTAATTGTACTGTGCACAGTTCCTGTCACCCCGTTAAATGGTTCCGATCCCAGAAGATGACGCACGCTTGGTAGACGACTGTCGGTTATTTCTTGCAAAGAGATTCCGCTCTTTTGTCGGTGTTTCCCTTTGCGCGATCTTCTGGGTGGATTATGTTTTTTATCCTCAGTGTTACGACAATAGCTCTCATTAGGTAGAAGACCTGCACCATAGCTTTCTGCCTTTGTACATACAATGTATGGTTCTTTTTTTTTGTATAGTTATCCAACCTATGGGAAGGATGACTGGTGAGTTTCTGCAAAATGTATTATAGTTGTATCCACCTCGTCTCCAAATAAAAAGGCAGAGCATGAGCAAAGCATCGTTTTCCATTTTACTTTTTTCCAAGACTCCGGTCACCATGAGAATCCGTTAACCTGTTATATGGGCCGACAGATTTTCGTGGAAGTCGGGTCTTTAGAGTTTAAACTGTACACAAAGGATACGAACAGGAATCCCGTGCGAGGACTATCTTACCTCTATATACCTTAATTTTATTTATATGTGCACGTTTTTTCTGTACTCTCCTACTTACGATTTACTCTTTCCTGTGTAATGGCGAAGGTCTGTGAGGTTCTGCTTTGTCTTTTCCCAGTACGAGGCGAGCGACATATGTATCATCATAGCATGTTGGGCAATCCCCGATTAGCTATCTCGAGTTGCATTAGAAGCTAGATTCTCTCGTTTCCCATAAGTTTAATTCCCGAGTACCGATTTCGTTCGCCTTAACGTCGGCTCGAAAGCGAGAAGGAAGAGGTAAACGAATAGTTTACGGATAGGAGGGTCCGAAGTAACCGTAGCGATATACATTTTCTTTAAATTACTAGATTATCTCCTCCCCCTCTCTTGCCCGGGGTAAAAATACGATTCTATTTTTTAATTTCAGGGTTACAACCACCTACACGACGCCTAGTCTGGGCGTCCCAAACGCTGTTAACGCAGGGACGTATCCGCAAATGTTGGGCTTAAGTGCCGAACAAGTGCAGGCCCTGATGCCACCTCCACCTGCATCGGCACCCTCCCTCATGACACACCCCTCGAGGCACACACCACCAGGTCATACATCACAGGGTCATACTCCGTCAGGCCATACACCACCTGGACATAATACCGCACACGCGAAATATCCACCACCTCTGATACCAGTCAATGGCAATAGCAACGGAGCCAGGTGAGGCGTCGTCGACATCCCGCCGTTTCGCGTTTCCAACCCGTGAGGCGTCTTCGGGAAATAAATCCGCCCTAGGAAATTAACGCGACGCTACCTCTTTCCAGGGACTCAAGGGGGCGGAAGCCGTTGCTCCCCATACTCGAGACGCTCAGCTCGTCTTGTCATGTACAACCGTACCAGATGCAGAAGGCACTGGTGGAGGACAAGATGGTGCCTTGTATCAACGCGAAACCGTACATCTACACCGAGCTCTTGATGACCCTGGCCGACTTTGTAACTCAGTATTTTCCTGCCTGCGACATCAACAATTGCAGGCAGGTTTTAACCGACGTCCTCGGCGTGGACTTGTACCAGGGGAACAGGTGAGTCTTCTTGAATTATTTAAAGGTTTTCAGGTAACGCGGTGCACGCACCGGGGCATTGTGCTTGGAAAATATCCCACCGAGGGGGAATTGAAATCAATTCGGTAACGCGTCAACGCTCTTATTTCAGACTGCAGATGAAGATGCTCATGGACGCTGGGAAGTGTTCCTCGATGAACGAAGAGCTACCCCTGATCCCCGTCAGGAGCATTATGAAGTACATGCCGCAGATGAAGTACATGTTCAACAATCGAAACGTCGTGATGCCGGCCCCGGCACACTCGTCCGAAGAGCACCAGGCCAAAAAGCGACAACGCACCAGCTAGGACTGGCTACAGCCTTACTGGCCAACCTACGATTATTATCATTCGGCATTCTAAATGATTTGCCGATCGTCCCTCGTGTTATACGTACGTGGCGAACCCGCGCGTCCCCCTTGGACCGAGCGGGACGCGATATTCGTCTTCGGCAAGTGATATAATTGAAGTAACCGAGGCGATTTTGACAGTTCGTACGCGCTCGTAAGGCTCATCGCTTTCTCGGACGAGAAGACATAAGTATGTGTGGCACGTTCCCAAAGGATATCTCTTCGCAGGAGGTCTATAAAGCGGTGTATATAGTTTTGTAAGAAGTGGGAAATAGAGGTGTGCTGCTGTTTTTAAATCGATTACGAAGTCCAGCGTGGATAGGCCTAAGATCGATCGCATTGTCCGCGCTCTACTTACATGGCAATCGATCGTCATCGGCGCGACATCGATCGGGCAACTCCGTGAGAGTCGATCCTCTGCATTCGAACCTGTCCTCTCGGTATAGGGCGGCAATACATGTCGAAGTATAGATGCTCTTCGTTTAGACGTTTTTATAAACTGTCCGTTAGTTTCTCGAGTTTTATCGCAAAAATCGAGCGTCACCGGTTACGGCTCTGGAAGTTTGCGTTTCTTTGTCTTTAGTCAAATGTAGTTATTCTCTACGTTCTACGGGCAAATCGATCGCAACGTTGACACGTATCGAAAGGATATAAGCATTCGGATGGAATGGATTTTCCTTCCGGGGCGGGAACAAATGCATTTTATTTTAACGCTAATCCAACACATTTCTACGTTCCAACGGAGGGTGAGATTCGCGGGGAGGTAATCGAGAGTTGGGCGGAATTTATTTATACCGAGTGGGTGGTTATTTAATTAAAATAATAGGTATTTAATTGAAGTCGCATCTTTTAACGCGTCGGTTTATCTCGCGCGTATCTCCGTCCCCTCGTCGGAATTAAGGTGTGACGTTTACTTTTGGAATAAAATGGATTTGCTCGGGGGATTACTTCTCTTCGTTACAAATCGCGAGCAGCCATTCGTAAAGAGTCGTAACGAACTCGACGGTCTTACGTTCAGCTGTCGACCCATTCTGGCACACTTCTAATTTTCTATTCTTCGGGGGCAAGGACGCGGGAGAGTTTCGAGGGAGAATTTTTTACGAGAGCACGAGACTCTCTCGGCGCTCGGTTCGAGTTAATAGAACCGCGATGCGACTATTTGACTAAATGTTACATTCACGATTGGAGTTCGCATATCCGAACGGCTGACATTTCAAACGCTGAAAGTAATGCCTGTTCAAGTTCCTAGTTGTTACATATGTAATTTGACGAGTGAGACCACGGAGTATCTACGATGGGGTAAATTACTGATAGAAATGAGAGAGAGAAAAAAAAAAAGAAATGGATTTAAGCGAATGCCCTCTATTAATTATCGAGAATGCGCGCAATCCGTAGAGATCGTAAACCCACCCTGGATGTTATTAGTTTTGGGTGTACCCGCGGAATTTTCTAAACACGTCTGAGAATTATCTGGTCTGTTTTTTTTCTTTTTTTTCTTTTTTTTTAATTATTCGATTTGGTACGCCGTTTGCGTTTACTAATGAAAATTCGGGGCTCATTGTTGTCGAACCGGTCATTCGCGTGCAATGTTACGCGGTAACGCTAATTCACGCGAAGCAAATAAACGTCATTTGTTAATGATAAGTAGTTAGTGTTTTTAATCGAGCTCTGCTTCCGATAGCTTCTCAAAATCACTGCGTGGCATTCCGTTAACGCTGGAAGCACTTTTTCAAGTGTCCGATGTACTCACGAGCGTGCAATCACTCGCAAGAAATAGAAATCATTGAAATTCACAATACAGGCACATCGATCATTTCTTGATCAAGTTTAGCATAGTTCAGCTTTTTTTTTTTTTCGTTTAACCCACCAATGCGTAGTATTCCTTTGTTTTGTAGTTTTTTTTTTATGTGCTCTGCATCGATTTAATTTTCTTCGAGGCACCTCCATAAGAAATGCTGAGCCTATGATTATGGTATCATGCAAGGATTACGATTCGTTATATGACGTGGTTGACACAATTACAGGGAATAATCGAAGGAGATCGGATAAAAGTAATTTGAACCCTTGCTTGGAGTGCTACATTTGGAACAATCAGAACATACCTTCGTTTCTTATTCAGTATTCTCATACCAATGAGCAATTGTTCGGCGTGATCGTACAATGAAATTCCACGATTATCCACGAGTAAGGAGAACGGTACGCGAGCTCTGTTGTTTTCTGTTATACTTTTTTTTTTCCTTTTTTGCAAACAAGACACCGAACACACCGCTTTGCAATGGCTATAATTGTTACCGAAAAATTCGACTGCTGCTTATTATACACGTAGTACTTACGTAGCCGTAGTAGAGTAGTGATACGTTTACAGAAGAAATATTCCTCGAAAGAAGACAAAAAAAGAAAGATAAGAAAGAAAGAACAATGGTGAAAGTGCGGACCGATAACACAATCGCGGGTGTAATTTAATTACGTTTTGCCCACCACAAGTGGAAATGGATCCGGTCTACAATCGCGAGAGTTAACGAAGAGCTACACACCTATGTGGTCTTCCATTCTGACCTAGAGTATCTTATGAGTACAAAAGGAGATCACCTTGTTGTGTTAACCTGGACATTGCGTTCAAGAGAACAACGCGGCACGCCACGCTGTTTCGCGAGAAGATAACGAAAAGGGGACTTGAAAAACCAGCGGAAGGAAAATTGCGTATCGAACTCTTTCGTGTCGCCGTAGGAAAAAATGGCAAAAAGAGAGAAGAGGAACAGACTGGGATCTGTACGCGGTTGACTGAACATTTATTTCGTCGCTCGCTAAGAACACTGTAAAAAAAGCTCTAAATACGATGTATATGCTGGAAAGCTGTATATAAGATGATTATAATGTCAAATTCACGAGGCCGATCGTGGATTTTATATACAAAACAAAAAAACTGCTTAGGTATCCTGTTACGGTGAAAATGGTATATTTTATTATTTATAAATTGTATTTAGTGTCGAAGCATGACTCGAAAGATTATATTGCCATTGAAAAGACTACATGACGGACTGGCGTCTCTGGCTTCGTTGGCCCACTATTATCGCATTATCTCGTCCACTTTGCACTAATCTCTCTCTCTCTCCCTCATTAAAAGGCACGTCCTCCAAAATCCGGAAAATAATTCCAGAGACATTTGTTTCAACATCTCGTTTTACTGCTGTTAACGCATTGGAACATTCCTTGGGTGCCTTCCATTGGAGGCTTCGGGTTTTTGTCCTACGCATTATCTGTTAATTATATCAGCTGGCGCGATAGATGTTCTTTCGGTACATTTTACACTTTTCGGAAAATATTGGTTTTCTTTTTTTTTTTAGTTTTCCAGCGAATTTTGTCGCGATGTGCTCTCGAATTGTTCCTTCCGATAAGGCGTTGCTCATTTTCATCTATACGTTATTTATCTTCTCTTTCGCTCTCCTTTCTTTCTTTCTTTTTTTTTTTTATACGGAAAACTTAATGCGAACGAAACGTCGGTTTTGCGAGAAACAAATCGTTTATAAGCGTTTCGCTTAATTACGAATCTCGGAAAGGAGTTCCGCGAGACCCCAGTCCAATACCTAGAAATTCTTTCTAAGTACTAGATTAGCGCATTTATTTGTTAAAACACTTGTTACGATAATACGTGTATTATAATTTATCATAACTTCATCTGTAAATATAGCCTATAAGCATTACTTAGAAATAATAGATATTTCAAATAAATTGATGATATAACTGAAATGACGCATCTTCGGAGATCCCGTCCAAGTTTTATGTCTATTCATTGATACATCGATTAGCCGGTTGCTTTTGTGCCACTTACTTGACTTAAAAATGTTGAAAAGTTAAAACTCAGGCGTCGTCGCGAGGAATTAAATTTTCCATTTATCCTTGGTTATAAAATATAAATAAAAAATCAGATTTGACGCGCGAGGGCATTGGCGATCGAGGTATCGAGTCGTTTGCACGTCGTGTAGTCTAATGTCTATGAATATAATTACGGATTAACCGTAGATAGTAAAGAATCAAATATGTGTATTCGTTTGTTTCGCTGAATTTTGTGATGCCGTTCAAAATTACGTTTACATGTATCGGAAGGAGCCTAATGTTATAATTAAGAAAGAGTTCACGTAGAAAGTCGCGAAAGCAGGCACCACTTAAATGATTACCGAAAACTGTTTTTTAGCGAGAGAACGTTTAAATTGACTTACTGTTCGGCGGAAACGCGTCAGGGACGAAGCGTCCGGTCGCCGTTGTGCGGTGGCGTCATCTTGCGTCGACCCCGCGTCCCGTGGCACCATCTGTGTCGACAACGGCGAAGCGGGTCGCACAGCACTGTGGGTAGCCCCGGGTCGGGAAGCCTCGGGGAAGGGGAAGTAAATAATGACCGCCATATCTCACCATATTCGGCAAGAGTGAGATGTTTTCGACGGGCCGGTAGTCCAAACGAGTGGGACAGAGAAAACCTGGTCTTACGGCGGCTACAACGGGGGCGCCGATGGAAGAGCGTTATTCGGGAACCGATCTTAGCGGCGGGTGGCGACGAGAGGTTACGGAAACGCACGAGGCCGGCCGAGCGCCTAGTCGCGGTCGCCATTTTCTCGGGTAGTCGTCGGTTCACCGTGTTTCCTCGGGTTTGGTGTTTTTCGGTCCGCGAGCACCGCCGAAAATCCGGCCTCCCCCAGGTTAGGCCACCACAAATGGCTTGCTTGAACACCCTCAAGCAGGAGATCAAAACCCTCGAGTCCGTCTTCCCCAAGAGCCATGAGAGGTTTCAGATAATGTCCGCGAGTGTCGACGAGCTCAGCTGCAGGTTCGTCGGTAAAAATGGGAAGAAGTACGAAATTCACGCCAATATCACAGTAAGTTCGTTACTTTCGGTACCTTTTGACGGCCGGCTCGGCTCGGACGGGGCGCCGAGGACATCCGGAGCTTCGGTCGAGTCGAGCCATTTGGCCGCCCGCTAACGGTCCTCGGACAAAGAGACAACAACAGAAATGTTGTTCTTCGCCCTTTGGCAAGGCCTTGCTCCGATCTCCAGACTTGCCGTTCGCGCCGCTCCTCCAGCCCGTGAACGGACTCGGGCCGGAAACGATTGGTTGGCAAATTCGGTAAATCCTGCCAATCGATCCGAGGGCGCGAACTTTATGCTTAATGCAAAGGGGTAGCTTCCTAATGAGGATGTGCCCTTTGACTCGCGGGTTCGTCACTTTCCTCGCTGCCTCGCGTTTCGGTTTTTGCTCGGCACATTGAAACGCGCCTGGCCTTTTCAAGGGCTCAAGGAGCCCCTGAGTGAGCTTAGCTGTTCGATAAAGAAGCACGAATTTCTGAAAGATTTCAAGGTATATACCCTCGGCATTCAATAGGTCTTTAAATTGCACTAGGTGCAATTCTGCTCTTTCGACGTACTCCCTGAATTCTGGGACTCGGAGAGGAAGAATATTAATCCTTTTGCCAAGAGAAATTTTCCAAACGGTCCGGTTAATTAATGCTATTGTCATTCTTGAGTATTTGTATCTTGATTTATGCTTCGGAGCAGAATATTTCCAGTTTTCTGAATATTTATATGAAATGAGGTTATAATATGTAGCAGCATCGATAAGGAGAAACGTATCAGAAAGCTAGGTTTACGATCACTGGAATTCAGTGTGAATGTTGCATTCACTTTCTGATTTTACTTCTTTAAAGGAAACATACCCCTCGACTCCACCAGTCTGGTTCGCAGAGTCGGAAGAGACTAGTGTCACGAACGCGGTACAAATTCTCAGTAACACGACTGGACAAGACAACCACGTGATCAACCAGGTGGGGATCCTCTTGAAAGAATTGTGCCGGCTTCACTCGTTACCGGAACCACCGGATGTGGAACGGTTGAGAACGTCGTTGTTCCCTCTACGTCTCGGCGGTGCCGCGGCTACGATGGCCCAGAGAATGGAAGCCGAAGATACAGAGGACATCGACGACGACGAAGAGAGCGAAGCAGAGGAAGACCTCCACTTGGACATGGACGACGGAGAAGCTAATGCTAAGAATAAAGTAAAAATAATGCATAAAATCTTCCCTTGGTATCTCTGTACTGCATTGGATAGTTTATATTGAATTCTTATCGCAGGGAGAGGAAATGGATTTGGAGCACCTTGCAACTCTGGAAAGGTTGAGACAGAATCAGAGACAGGACTATTTAAAAGGTTCGGTCTCTGGTAGCGTTCAAGCGACTGACAGACTGATGAAAGAGTTGCGTGACATATACAGAAGCGATAGTTTCAAGAAAGGTAAGTATACCATCCTACGATTCCCACATTTTCTCCTTTCCATCGATGTCCCAAAATCGAGTCGGTTAAATAATCCCTATAACAGACTTGCTATATCCCGGCCCTTTTTCAGGAATGTATAGCATAGAGTTGGTTAACGACAGCCTGTACGAGTGGAACATCAGGCTAATGTGCGTGGATCCTGACTCGCCACTTCACAATGATCTAGTTCTTTTGAAGGAGAAGGAAGGCAAAGACAGTATTCTGCTCAACATGCTTTTCAAGGTTCGCCGGTTAATTTGCTACCTCGTATAGAGCATACCTTGAGCAGCGAAGAAGAATGGTTTCACTCATCAAAGGCTTCGTCGATTGGCATCGTTGTAGGAACAGTACCCCTTCGAGCCACCATTCGTCAGGGTGGTTCATCCCATAATCTCCGGCGGATACGTTCTGGTCGGAGGCGCGATTTGCATGGAGTTGCTGACGAGGCAAGGCTGGAGCTCCGCTTACACCGTGGAAGCGGTCATCATGCAGATATCGGCTACCTTGGTCAAGGGCAAGGCGCGCATACAATTCCAAGGAACCGGGGGCAGTGGCAAAGTCTGTGGTGGACAAGGCCAGTACAGTTTGGCGCGCGCGCAACAGTCCTTCAAGTCCCTCGTACAGATTCACGAGAAGAACGGTGAGCACTCGCCTTAGCTGGCCAAGTTCAAGTTCGAGGTTCACCGGCGAACGAGTATTGTGTGATATTTCCGTCCCGTTGCAGGTTGGTTCACACCGCCAAAGGAAGACGGCTAATGAAGACGAAGTGTCAGAGAACGACAATGTGACGCGTGCTTGCGGCTGAGACTTTAATTCGGTGTGTGCCCAACAAATAATTATTACGATAATGATTTGATACACGAAACACAACATTAACTAGGTAACTTTAAGATACTGAATTAATACGCGTACGCATAATTCATCCTTCGATCGCTGAGAAATGGCTGTCGCGCTCAAAAGGGAGGAGTCGCAAGGCCTGGCAGAAAGAGATCGTGTGAAAGAAAGAAAGAAAGAAAGAAAAAAAAAAAAATCGAACGCGAGATTTACGGTGACGCGTTCGGCTTTTTTGCGCGCGTGGACTTCGACTTTCGACTGCGGTCGGCGATCGCCGATCGATATTGCGACGTATCGGGTACCGCTACCGTTCGAGCCGGGATCCGTAATTTCGTAATCGCGGCGATCGTTCTTTAATTAAGCGACGCAATTGGCCCCCGCGTTACTTCTCAGAGAACACGGAGGAGGCCGAGTCTCGAGGCAGGTAGCTCTTGCGGAGTCACCACGGAAATCGACGTATATAACGGCGGATTAATCGTTAAACGATCCTTCCCATTCGGTCATCGCCGAGACGTTTTATTAGGCATGCCGCACAGTTCCGTTATGTATCTCCTACCGAAGCCCGAGACCTTGCACGAGACGTTTCGCAAATTTATTCCGGTAAATCCGCAGGTGATATACGGCTAAGTCGCGGACAAGGAGCTCTGTTTCTTTGAACAGTAAGCCTAATAGAATCGTGCCCCGTCCCCTTGAATTGCCCCCTCTTCGTTAAATTGTCCGCCGACGTTCTCCTCGACTGTACTACCGAATAATATCAGTGACTTGTAATTATCTGTATATTCCTCTTGCCTAGCTGTACACGTGAGTTCTTCGGTTTATCTACATTTTCTTTTCTTCTCTTTTCCTCTCTCTCTCTCTCGATCTCTCGACTTTTTAATTTTCCACGCCGATTGTTAAAATACAATTATGATATAGGTACTTACAAGCAATAAAGTACGGAGTAACGTAGCCGGTAGGATTTTTCAGAATGTACTTTATCTCTCTCTCTGTCTCTCTTTCTATTTCTCTCTCGTTCCTCGGTAGAAGGATCGCTCTCGTGGTTAATTGTACATTTCGCTTGCGCGACTTCGCACGCGCCCTCGGTTTCGTTCGAACGGTCGGCTCGTTGTAGATTTTTTACCGTAGTAAACGATATTTTTTTATGTCTCTCGGGAAACGAGTCGTTTATATGTCCGGGCGTTGTAGTGTTAGTGCAATAAGTGCCGACGCGGTCGGATTTGTCCCGCTTTATGAGCTGTTCTCGCGAATATCGAGCACGCGTTGGCGGACCCTGAAGGACCACCACGCATCAACCCTTTTCTTTAATGGAAACTTTGCCAAAGCTTAAGTTATCCACCCTCGCCGTTGGCCGATGGGGTTTTGTCAAGTGTCAGCGCGTTTCATCGTGTTCGGTTCCCTTTCTAGTTTTATTTGCATTTAATGGTCGCGGGACTCGTTCGTCCGTTTGCGAATAATTTCTCTATTTTCTCTCTTTTTTTTTACCGGTAGATGTTATTTAATAGGAGTCCATTCAATGTCGTCGTCGGAAGTTTGAGTGCGCTAATTGACAAGACACCGCTACGCGAATTATGCTAGAATAGTCCAAACGAGGCTCGTTGCATAAAGAAGAAGGGTTCTGTGTCCAAGCGTTTCCTTTTATTCGGTAGAAAGCGACTAGGGAATCAAGCTCCTTATTGTAGGATATTTTTTTGAAAGGGTTATGCGTTTAGCTGGGACCCGATTCTCGAGTTATTTTTTTTTTTCGCATGAAAAATGCTGCACTGTTGCGAGGTCGCGTCATTGGTTAATATTTGAAAGTCGGGTATGAAATTGTCAATTTCGTCGGCGAATGTTCATCGCGTGAACTCGGGAATAGGGTCCCAGGGAAGTAGTTTTCGTGAAATCGTCATTCTGGGCCTCTTAATGAATTTCGCCGACTCGGATTACGGCGAGGCAGGTTGATTTGTATAAATTGCAATTTTCCAAAATGGCGACTTCCAGGCAATATAACGTATTTAAGGCGGTGTCGTAGGATCAGGGACATGCAGGATCGAGCTGCCGGGAACGCATCCTCTGCGAATGTCTCGCCCTTGTGAGGGCGAAATCTAAAACGAATGAAAAACGTGAAACGTTCGATTAGGGTAGTGATTACGAGCTAGGGTTTTCGGACGAGGTCTTTTTCCTTTTGTTGTCCTCTTCGGTCGGATCTTAGGGAGGGAATGACGTTATAAGTTGTTCGCGAACACTTACTTTCCGACGACTGTCCGTGAGTTGTAAACGATGCGCGCGCAACTGGTGAGTCTCGAGAGTAATTGATGTGATTGTAAATTCCTTGTTCATAGCGGGGTAGAGGCGCGACGGCGAATCGAGGGGACGAGGACCGAGGGACGAGATTTCGACGCGTCCACCTCAGGAGGCGACATTTCCCGCCAGCCCGGGCGGGCGAAGAGAACGGGTGGCGGCGCGAGGAGAGCGATTGTAAAGGATATCCTGTAACGCCTCCTGGTCTTCTCGAGGTCGTTCTCTCTCTCCCGAGGGACGAGGTTCGACGTTTCCCGCCCGGGCGGGCGAAGAGAATGGGTGGCGGGCCGAAGAGAGCGATTGTAAAGGACTAAAGCGATTGTAAAGGATACCCTGTAACGCCTCCCGGTCTCCTCGAGCCCGAGGCACGGGTCGCCCCGTTCCCCGATCGGTCGCTGTCTACCCGTACCCACCCTGGATCTAGATGTAGGCCTTGTACGCCGTGTTAAGTGTATGGTACGATTCCATTATTTCTGTCATCGTTCTGCCCGAACGCGAGCGACCGGGATTCCTCGGAACTGACTCCCTGAGACGGCGGCCACGTGACTTTGACAGAATCCCGGCCGCGCGCCACGTGGGTTTGACAGGACACCACGTGGGCGTGACGCCGCATCGCGAAGCCGCATCGTAGCATCACTTTGGACCCGATTTAATTGCAACTTAGTTACTAGGATCAAACCGCGCTGGTGGTAGTATTTTTGGATATTTTCTTCAAACCCGATAGAGTGTTAAGTACTAGATAGGACACGCGATCGGTGGAGGTCGGCATCGAAACTTCCGAAGTAATATCGATAGCCGTGGTCCGATTGATTTAAATCGTTGCGATTCAATCGGGAGGGCTTCTCGCGAAACGGTGCCTGGGAACGAGTATCTCATTTTTCCAGGTTTTCTCTTCTTTTTTAATAATCTTCACGTGGTCGCCGCGAGACGCGACCAACTCGTTCGCGGACCTCGGTCGCTCGCCTTGCAAAGTCTATCACAACTCTCCCATCTATACACTTAAGTAACTAACCGATCGACAGCATCGTCTCTCATCATCGATCTTTAAGCTTAAGGTTACGCCCACGGACGCAGCTCCGTCCCGGGGCATGCTCTACCATTATTGATTTGACGTTAAAACGAAATTCTAGCGCAACATTATCATTTCCCCTCCGTCTGCCCCTCCCCCTATCGGGTTTCGTTATCCGTCTGTCGTCTCGCTTCATTCTCTCTCCTGACGTCATGGACCTTTCTCTCTGGCTCGCTCCCACTTTCTGTGACCTCTGTCTCTCTATCTTTCTATCTCGCTCTAGAATTTCGTAATAGATTATGTTAATTATTATTTAGGAGAACGCTATGAAACAAAATAAAGATTTTAATAAAAAAGAGCTCCGAGAGTTGTGCGTAGACGGAGGTGTAGGCGGTCTTTTTCGGGGTCGTGGGGTGATGTTTGGGGGCCGGGGGCGAATCGCTATGGCGATGAGATTCCCCAGGTCGGGAGATATCCTACTATCCTCTTCAAGTCCCACCAGGGCACGTTGAATCATTCATAAATTGTGCACCGTGGAGATTACGCAGCGGCGGCCCTTCGCGTTATTCTCTTCCGGCGGTGGACCGACTCCGAAAGCTAACCTGGAGGCCAGTTGCACTCCCCAGGGTGAGATTCGGTGGCCGACTGCAGTTTCGTCCCCGGGAATTTCCCCTTCTCGGGGAAGCCACTCGTAGGCGCGACGACGACCGTCTGTCCATTCTGGGAGGCGGTCGTTATTTCGTTAATAATTTACAGGACCGCTCTTGTTAGTTATCTGTACACCTGTGGCTACATATATATACAAAGTCGCCGTTTATCGTTTAAAAATGGAATAACTTCCTTGGCGTTAATCTTACAGTTTTGTTTTAGGTCTTGAAAAGACGTTCCCCGCGATATTTATTGCGCCCTTACGGCCGAAGCCATTGAAGCCGTTGAGATGGATTTTCTAAGAGAATTTCCCGAAATTCAGAGCTCTATGGTATTTTCTATGGCGGCTTTTAACTGGCTCGAACTCTTGAATTTCCTGAATGCCGTCCTTCAGCTCCTGGGTAGTCCTGGATTTATTGACGTACATCTGATCCTTCAGATAGTCCTGAAAAAAATCCGGGGCTTCTATATCGGGAGGACAAAAACCTTCCTTAACAGTTCCATCCTGGGTTTGGTCGTATGGGTGTAATAAATCAGCGGGGGACGTATACTTCCAGAATCTGAGACGCAAGTTTGAGAAATACTCTGAAAAAGGTTATTACATTTTTAAGGTGACGTAAAAGTGGCGGCAAAGAGGTCGCGTTTATGAAACATTTCCCTGAACTGGGTGTACCGAATCGTTTCAAAGTTTATAACGCGAACGCGGAGGCTACGAGGGAGGTCCTGCCACCCATGAGATTTCAATTTTTAAAATATTCCTTCACAGACATTTTGAAAGATTTTTGTAAACGAAATTTCATGAGTGTCGGGATCTTCCTTATGACCCGTATTCGCGCTGTAAGGTTTGAAACGATTTTGTACAGCCAGCTTGGAGAAAAGTTTCATGAACGACTGACCCCTCGGATGCTATTTTCACATCCCATTACATGGTAATGCGAGTTATGGGTTATCCTGTATCTGGAGGTCAACACTTCGCCGAGTAAAAAATAATCGAGGGTTTAATGAACGTATAATTCCCAGGCTTGGCGCGCAGGGGGAACGGGAGGAGGGGAGTAATCGGAATCGAGCTGCGAGAGGGAAACGCGGATTTTTCCTAACGGCTCTAACCGTTAATTACTTGGCGAGCGGGAAGACCGTGCGTAAAGTTCATTATAATAAAATAAATGGACTCTCGATCCATCGACAGGTCATTACGGGCTTGCGCATAACTTCATCAGCGCGGGGGAACCGATAGAGGGGCCATTGTGCGCCGTTCCCGTGCCGCGGTAATGCGCTCGCCATATTGCTGCTCTATCTGTTTGTATTTCCCACGGGATGGCACCGAGGCATCCCGTATTCATACGCGAATAACGCGAATGGAGAGCGCGACCGTCCTGCGCGCGCAAAATGCCCTGGGCATCAAGTGTCGATATTTCGTCCCAAACGAGCCCGGAAAAACGATTTGCGCTCCCATTGAAACTACCCGGGAAAGAGGAATAACGACCCGAGTCGGAATCTACTTGAAATGAAAACCCTTAATCGTAGGCCTTAAGGTGATACGAAATTGCCGTCTCAGGGCTCGATCGTTCATGAAACTTTTCCGCAACCTGGATACATCGAATTATTTGATACTTTATTTAATTATTTGATTATTGACCGAAAGGGAGCTCGGCAGGGGTAAAATTTCCATTCGGTTTTTACTCGCGATCGCGGACGCAAGGGAGGCTACGAAAAACGACGGAACTTGGAATCAAGTTTCGGGACGGTCGCCGACTCGGGGGAAAGTTCGGGCTTTTATCGGCAGGCGCGCCAGGAATTTCTCCTTGGTCGGGGAAAATTTTCGAGGGCCCTCTCCTAGCGTGGGACTCTCTTGGCAAGCCCCGGGCGTGTGCGGATCGCTCGACGATTCCCGATCGGCAACGCGCCCTCCGTGCTCGGGGTACGCTTCCATCGGGATCCCCTTTGTCCCATTTATTTCCCATCCTCGGCTTTGGTCGAACGATCTTGCATGGCTTGCATAAGTAAGGCGTCTACATGACCTGGTTTGGCTTTCCTACCGGACTCGGTCCACGGAATTGTCCCGCCGGCTCGAAATTCGTTTCTGAGTCCACCTATACATCCCCGGCTTAACGCGAAAGCTCTCTCGCCGAAATCCGATTTTCACCGCGCCGCGGTTACACCCGTTTAACCGTGAAATATGCTTCATTAATCGTACCGATTGATTAGACACCGCCACGTCGGCCTTAGCCTGATTCTAGTCCAAGTAAAAAAAAAAATGACGCTCACCAACCTCGGTCAAAAAATTAATCCTCGGTTACGAGTTGTACGTTCCACCATATTTTAATAGCGAGTTAACTTCCAGTAGAATATTTTCCAGCGATTCGCGGAAATCTAATTTTATCGAGAATTTAGTCGGAGGGTAATGAAATAACACTCATCCCCTAAACGGGGGGACACGCCCTTTGGGGGGGAAACGTTCAGAATCGATCGGGCGATCTTTAATTGCTTTTACCCTGCAAATGGGCTTTTGATGAGTGCATACGCTCGCGGAATAGCGGTTCCTTTGTTTTTTTTTTTTTTACGTTGCCCGTACTCACCGGGACCAATTACGTCCATTAACGAGGCCTTAGAGCGTCTTCGCGACGAGCGCTACCCCAGTGTCATTTAAGTCCTTCGGCATTCACCCCTCCACTGGCAGTTGGTATACGCTCCGCGTATAATTGTGCGACTTGTTAAACCACCCGCGTTCATTTTCCCCGCAATTTCCCCGCCCAGAGCCCCGATTAGTGGCCGATGTCTGTGCAAGCTCAAACGTCACTCGCCACGTGGTCCGCGCCCGCCCGCTACCCACGTGCTCATTCAAGCTTTCGCGTTCATTCCGAAGGGTTGCACTCGAGACTGCACAGTTGCAGGAACTCTCATACGATTTAAAGGGATACGAGCATTTACCGAAGCAATTTCCGGGATAGAATTTTTCTTTTACTTCATTTCTAAAGTCTAAATTTCTTCATTTATTTAGCCAGGGGAAGACACGGGTCGTTTAAAAATTGCCTCTTTCAAGCTTTTGCGTTAATTCCAAAAACCTGCTCAAGGGCATCGAGACTCATACGATTTAGATGATCTTAAGATCACTTTGAAAAGGGATTCGCAGTTTCGAATTTGTCCATTTCTTTTTTGTCTCCTCGTTTCTTCGTGCCTTCATTCTTCGGTCGTGAATATTGTCGTGTACCTAGGGTGGCAAACATTGGTCGCTCATTTGTATATGCACGTATATACCTTCCTGTACATGTACAGTGTTTATTGAATGCCGTGCAAGGGCCCTGCAGCCGCTCTCTAGGAATTTGCCAATTTTCGGCGAATCGCTGTCAAATTGGCTCCCGACCCGCCGCTACTTCGCTCTTTGCCGTCCAATTTGCGTCGCGAGATTCTGCGAGCCGAAACGCCGCTCGACACGTACTTCACGTCTGCCCACCAAACTTTCGGGCCATTCAAGCTTTCTCGTTTATTCGGGAATGCTTATACGTGAAATGGCGGAGAGATATGTGCGGCCTCGCGCTTACACGACTGCCCTGCACCGCTCGAGTGTCTCGCCGTTTACGCCGGTCTTGCCTTTGATCGGGACCGCCCTTGCTCGGCAAACTTTGCAAATTGGTTAGCTTTGAAGTCGTGTCCCTACGTCAATGCGGACTTCCGGCCTCGTAACAAGATCCCAACTGTAACCGCGATAGCTGCAAGCCCTCCGCGGTTGTTCGCGGGGGGTCGCCGGACGGGGCATCCAACTCGAGGTGGACTCTCGTGAAACGGGCAAAATGGAGAAAGAGGGACATTCGATGTACCTGTTCGTTATAGGACTTTCCGAACACCTAATCACCTGTTTTCAGGTGGCTCTTCGTATCTACTCTCTTGATTCGTTCGTTAGGTCCTTCTGTTAATTATCAATAATTATTGTAATTTTTGATAAGACGACGCGTAGGCTTCAAATCGTCTCTCCTCCGCATTCGGGATTCGCGAAAGTGTATATCTACATTTTGTACAATAATTGCCGGTTAGATATTATTTTCATTTTTTTTTTATGGACCATCTGGAAGCTGCACAGGAAATTTTCTACCTTTGCATGTTTTATTAAATGTTGCCGTTATCGAGGTGTCCTTTTGCGATGTAAATTTTTAAAACATGCATATAGTCATTGGGAGGGTTTTTAATGGACCTCGGAGGTGGCGGGAAGGTGGGCAGGAGTTTTCTTGGATAGCTGAATTATTCATCTTGAGCGATGTGCCGGGGATTGATAAGGCCGAGAGCGCTTGCCCATCTAGGTGGTACCTCTCCTCTCGTTTGCAGCCTCTCTATAAACGGGAGTAACGAATACCAACGAGATTTCAGTTTCATTAACACGTAGGGGAAGTTCCGCGGGGTTGTTTTCGCGTCCCGGCGGCGCTCTGCTTTATCGAGCGTTGCGACGTCGCGCGTCCTTATCAGAGGCGAGGGGACGGCCGTTGTACGAGACGCTTCCTCTCGCAAAAGGAGCGAGAGGACTCTTCCGCAACGCCGCCGAGTTGTTTCGGGCTCGCCGGTTGTTCGCCGGTAAATGCCAGAAGAAGTTGTACGCTTTTACAGGAGTAAAAGCGCTCGTGGAGGCTGCCTCGAATTAGCCCCCCTTGAGAGCCGGGCTTCCTTTTAAACGTTAATGGCTCCGGAAGTCGCGTCCAACAATTCCGACATTGTTGTTCCGTGGTTGTAACCCCGGTTACCC